GATGAAAGTGGGTGACAAAATGCACTCGCTTCCGAACACACACAGACAGCCTCTCGACAATATGCGCTCTTGCTGCTATAGCGCTGCTCAGCAAAAACGCATAAAAACGCATATTGTGACGACCCCGATGTGTGCATGTGTGTATGTGTGTTTGTGTGTGCGTCTGTCCGGGTATTTCAAATTGGCAACTAAGCAAACTCCGACGCCAAAATTTTGCCTCTGGGTTGCCTGATCCCGTCCCAGGATCGCGGTACCCACTCCCATGCATGTTTGGGCCCCTCGTACCAACGCGTGAAAGTTTTGGTAGGAAAATTGCTAACTCGATAGCCAGAACAGATAGGGAGCTGGAATCATAAGGTTATGTTCCCCGTTTACATAGAACTCAATACTTTCAAATTCAGTTCTGTGGTGCGTGTGGTTCTCGCGTATGGCCTCGTGAAAGTTGTCGGGGGAAAATCGTTAGCTCGGAAACCAAGGGAGCTGGGAGGCAGAAATTTTAAGGGGATGTTTCCAGTCCGCGCGCAGCTTAAAAACCTCAGGTTGAGGCCCCATGAGGGCGTGATTCTCGTGTACGGCCCCTTGAAAGTTTTTGGCTGGAAAATTCGCTAATTCGGGAACCAAAAAGGCTGGGAGGTTGAAATTTTGTGGGAATGTTCCCTGACCAAGCAACACGTCGTTGCACAATTAACTTCATGAACTTCGAGGACCAGTATGTCACAAATTCTAGCTACTGGGACTTCAAGCAATCTTACTACCGAATGAGATACTATAAAAGCGCAAAATCGCACGAGTCCCACTGGTGCGTGTCGCTAATGATTGATTTACTTTCTCCTGTTCCACGTTTCCTAGAGCCGATAAGTGAGTATATTTTGATACTTTTTTCTCCACTTTTTTTTTGTAGAAATTGTCATATACGTTTTGCCATTTCTTCTATCTTAGATTTTTTTGTGAGAAAATCAGTCCTGTCTCAATTCGTTCAATCGTTTGAGACGTCTAGGCGAATCAATACGGCTTCAGCTTTTCATTAAGCAACTTTCAAGAAAGGAAACCATCAAAGCCTCATCAGCAGACAGTTGTTTGTTAGCGCCCGGTCCTGGTACCTTTGCTGGTTATAGAGCTGGAATGCGACGAGAAATTTACTTTTTACCGATTATTTTTCCCAACTTTTTCTAAACGAATCTCGCATCCACTGCGACTGGTTGCGTCAAACTGCCCTTTGGAACAAACTTCGACAATATTTCTGGCACTGTTCTGTTGATTTAAAAGGTGAAATAGCAATTGATGAAAACTGCTTAACACAAAGCTGGACACTTTTGTTTAAAACTTCGAGCTGATCCCGACTTTAGTAAAAGTTTACACCACGTATGGTCAACCGGCGCC